GCCGCCGAGGCTGCCAGGCTGTGTTCTGCTGCAAAGGAGAGCCCGCACCTAGACTTGGACTGGGGGGAAGCACCGGCACAGTGAGGACAGCCCAGGTGAGCCACATGCTCAGCCCCTTCTCCTCTCTGGGAAGATGGCTGCCCCTGTTTTGGTCAGCCTCTGTGGTGGGAATGCATCCTGCCGGCAGCCGGTGTCATTTTTCGGGTGACCCGAAATTTTCCAGCTGCTGACCATGCCTCCCAAGGGCTGGGCAGAAGTGGGAGCAGGGAGTTCAGGGACGGGTACAGGAGATGTCTCCTTCCTTCCTTCCTTCCTTTCTTCCCTTGGCCCACCTGGCGACTTTTCGCCGGGGCACAGGCACCTCGTCTGTGTGACAGGGTGGTGGCTGAACACCTGCAGCCGTGCCCAGCTCCTCTGTACACTTGCCTTCCCTCTGCTGCAGGGTTGTTCAGCAACATAAAAATCCTACCAGCTACAGGACCTATTGGCTCATGTATTTTTATCTGGAGATAGCTAAAAAAAGCTTTGTTTGGAACTTTTTCAAAATCATTGCAAAGACAGAGAAAGAAAGAAGAAATACCCTTTAGGGGACAATATGGCACTGCTGATCTAAAGATATAGTAAATGACTAAATCTGGTTTTTAACAGCTTGTAACACCTGTGAATATTATTTATTTGGGTTTGTTGCCTACTCATTTAAATCACAGCAAAGCAGAGGAACGGAGGCAGTTTTGCTTTTTCTTGCATGCATGCACATTATCAAGTATTTGTGTAAACATGACATTGAATCCATTAATTTTGTGTAAATACAGTTTAAAGGAGCAGGGAAACTAAAAGCATCAAGTGAGGTACTGAAGTGCGTAACAAAAAGTGGAAAAAACCTTCTTCACAGAAAGTAATTTTTCTAACCAGATGTATTTCATTCCTAGTGCTAATACAGCAAAATGTGTTGTTTCCATAGCTGGATGCTCCATATTTCAGAACAGGTTAGAATGTGTTCTGAGCCTGTTGTTGAAAAAATTACATATTTCTTAAGCAGGCAAGTTAAAAGGGGACATAACATTTATGTGTGAGATTTGCAAACTGGTGCCATGCTGCAGCTACAATAATGCTTACGTTCCTTCACCAACAGCATCTGTAATTTAGCCCTGAAATACAAAGGATCATGACTTGGTCTGTAATTATCTCTGAGGAAAAATGTGAACTTCACAGTTTTGTGCTCTTACTTTTGGGGGAAGAAATTACAAAGACCCTCATTCCACAGGATAGTCCCCAAAGCTGTTGTTTTTACAAATGATCCCATCCTGTGTTTCTGGTACAGTTGGCAACTTCTAGAGTGTAATATATTCAGAATCGGGGTACTGTCATGCTGATGTGGGGTCAGAAATACTGTGTAGTGAGTGTAATTCTGAGATGCCTGTCAGATAACTAAGTCATCTTCATTTCCCATGTAAGGAAACAGAAAATCCCAGAACAAGCCTTGGGCAGCTCCAGATACTTCAGGGTGCTGCGTGGTGATGCCAGGTCAGAATCCTAAGCCGTACTAGCAAGGTGCTTAAAAAAGCCACTCCCAGCTCTGATGGTAATTCCATTCAGTGCGAATTGAGGGCTTCGTCATTTTAGTGAGGTGTGCTGCCTGCGGAGCCCTTTCTGGGGCTGCTGAGCTCCATGCCGTGCTCGTCACCCGTTTGCATGCAGAATGGTCCCTGATTTTGGAGGAGTGCCTCCCTAGCACCCACACCACCTGAATCGTTTCAGACCTAAGGTCTTAGATCTAGAGGATCAAGGTGGGGTTATCCCCCGCCTTGAATTTGGAGGCTGATACAAGGGAGACCCTTTTTCCCCGCTTTCCAGCCTTCCCGTGAGCTGCTTCCATGATGGGCACTGCTCAAGGGTGGCTGGAAGGTTTGCTCAAGGAGCTTGGTAGTGATGAATCACAGAGGCACGGCATGGATTGATAAGGTCGTGTACTTACGATTAGATACATCCTCCCTCTAACAGCGGCTCTTTGTCTCCATTTTGCTTTTGGTAATGTTTTTCAGCAGTTTGCGTACAACAAGCTCCAAGCAGGAGCTGTTTGACTTGAGACAAAGTCGCTATTATTCTAGCCAAGCTCAGGAAGCTCTGATGATTTTGTTGCCCTCAGAAGACATAGATTCTTGGGAATTTATTTAAAAGCCAATTAAGTTATATCACCAAGAAAATATTTTTTTCTTGCAGCATAGCTGTGAGACTCCCAGGTGCATAAAACAGTGTGTAACAAGAAAAATCTGACTTGCAGCTGTATTATTTATTTTTTGTGCATTTTAAGGGATGGCTGAAGAATGACATGTTCTTTTTCTGTACCACTAGCAAAAAAAAAATCATATATTTCAGCTATTCACAGTGCAGGTGTGCGGTCTGAGAGCCATGGCAAGAGAAAACTATTACATGGTCTCCAAATTATTGGAAGATATGGACTACTGCAGTGCCTGCTGCCTGACCAACACACGAGTCTGCCTCCTCATTTAGAGTTGATGGAAAGCCCAAAGAACTCTTGTAGGAACACTTCAGGATTATTTAGGGAGGTTTTGGACTAGCTCCTTGAGGCATGTAATTTAGTCGAGTGCCTACTTTTGTTCACAAAATGAAACCTTTTCCAGCTACCCTGAATGTGGCATTTTCCGTACTGCTGTCCTTTCTCAAAGACCGTCTCCAGTGTCTCTCCAGGCAGTGTCTCCTGAGCCTTTAAGCTTCTCTTGACCTCTCTTTGTGAAACCTCTCCTGCCCCAGTCTCTGCTGCAGTGTCCCACGGCTCCCTTGGACTCTCTTGACTGTTCTGGCTCCTCTGCTCCTTATTGTCACTTGCTGAATACACTTGCTCAGCAGAGTTTCCAGAAGTAAAACAAAAAGAGGTAGTCATGGATGACCAGTATCAGCTTTTCCTTTTAACTCAGTCGTAAAGCGTTGTTGGCTTTCTGGTTTGGTTTCTGCTGTCTATAAAAGGGTTTTGTGCAAGAAGTCCCCTTTTTCCCATCGCCCTGTATGACACCAGTGCTGGGATGACCTTCTGCTGGAAAGTCTCATTGCTCAGTTGTGTCGCTGCTCCGTTTGAGTTGCCCTGGCAACCAGTTTGAGCTACACTGAACCAAGAATATCTCACTGTGCTTGGGAAAAGTCAGTCTGCAGACATGTATTTCTCCTTAATGGCTTCTCTGGATGGTTCAGCAGATGTCCTTACTGTGAACCGATGGCTAGGAGATCAGCATATGCCCCTTTTGCTTACTTCCACAGGCAGCACGGTCTATGAGAAGGCTGCCCATGCATGATTGTCAACTGAGTTGTGACTGTAAGACCCATCATACTCATTTTTCATGGTGCACCGAGGGTCTCCTCTTCTACTGAGAGCTGTCTGTGTAGGCTCACAAAGACACAGTGATCTCTCTTGTACTCTGTGGTTTCTGCACATTATATTGGTTATTACTAGCAACTATGGCCTTCTTATTTCCATATAAGCACCTTGATTTATGGGTGTGCACACTGCAAGCCCAACCTTTGCTGCCATCCTGGTCTTCAGAGGCTCAGTTTGCAACACCTCCAAATGAACACGTGTATAAATCTTCAGAGGTGAGGGCCCGCCGGTTTGCACAGGAGAGAATGCATAGACTGGTGGTGTTATTTAAAACCTTCCTAGTTCAGTTTTGGCTTGCAGATAATCTTTTTGCTACCTAATGTTGAACAGTGGTGTGAAGAAAAGCATTGGTAATTCAAGATGTGTTTTCAAGCTGACAAAATTAGAGGAGACTAAATTGGAGAGCAGTATGTCATTTTTAGTAACAGGTTCCCTTTTCTGGATTTGCAGGGTGTGAGGATTGCGGTAAAAGCCTTATAGGAGAATGCAAACTCCACGGACCACTCATCAGGGCTAAAGATAGGGTTATTCCTAGCCGAGCCCGTCTCACCCTACCTCATTACCTCACTTTGCGAGTGTTGGAGCTGCGAGCTGGAAACCAGCAGAGTAAGTATTTTATTCACAGATTCACAGAATGTTAGGAGGGATTGGGAGCACAAGCTGCATTCTCATCTATCCCTTTAGTTGCAAGGACACATTTTTTTCCCACATTTGAGAAACAGGAGGAGGCAAAAGTACTAACACTGGCTTTTTTTCATGAGTAACTTGAAGCATAGTCATTGGGTATTAACAGTATGAAGACTGTTTTCAGCTGAGCACAGCTAAAGCTCACATTCAGCTACTGGTTTTTATGACTGATTTGTAGTAACTTCAGTGCATAAACTGACGGCAGGACATAAGCCAGAGCTGATGTGACATTTAGCTGTGAGCGATTTGTTAGCTCTGTTCAGTCAATGCAAGTTTAATGAATGTTGAATTTGTATCTAATAGTAACAGTCACGCACTATTGCTTTTGATTTTTTTTTTCTCTTCCCCAAGCATGCAAAACAGGAAAGAGTATTCAATATGAGGTCAGACACAAAATGGTAAATAACACCCGTCATGCACCCCCTGCAAACTCAAAAGAACACAAGGGGTTATTTACCTTTTGCAGCATCTTCAGTTCATATTACAGAAAGACACTTGTTTTCGTCTGAGGACAGGGCAATTTGAACGTCCAAACTTGAACTAGGGAGCAACATCCTTAGCATGCGAATTTTCCGGAGCTACCTGTGTAAAATTAGTCCTGCCTAGATTGCATGTCAAGAGGAGAATGCCAAGATGCTGATTGTGCCACACCATTGGTATTAGGCAGGGGAATGTCTAGTACGATTAAGATGGCTAATGTTGTGTTTTTATAGATTCTCTCCACTTATATTTGGGGAGAACAAACTCCTAAATTATGCCAGCAAGCAGAGCGCTATAACATAAGTTTGTAGATTGAAAAGTATCAACACATGTATGTTGCATACTCAGTTTAATATCCTGTCATGGATTTTAGGCACCTTTGTATTCAACATAATACTCATTTTTAAAAATCGCTGAACATACTTACATTCTTCTTAGGTTCTTCCTGTTAGAATTATTTACCTGGGTTATTTGTCTAGAAGTAGTATTAAATGTGTTTTGCACTATTGTGTTTTATCTCTGCTTTCACAACTGTAAATATCTAAGAAGTAGTTTGTGACGTCTGTATTAATATGAGACTGATCTTTTTCTATTCACAGTCCTTGGAGTGTTTGCAAAGAAAGTAATACAGAAGAGGACACAGTTTGGTCCTTATGTTGGTCAACTGTCTACAAAACTGACCCGCTATGATGAAAGCAGGCTAGTCCTGCAGGTAAAAACCCAGTGACTTACTATGAAGTCCGTATGTGTCTTTAACAGTTTATATGTATTTGTGTATTTTAACCAGTCAATTTGCCATCTGACCTAGTTAATTAATTGTACTTCTGATCTGTATGTATAAATGTAAATCACATTATTAGGCAGCACAGCATAACCTGAAGTACCA